CTCTATCTTTCTATCCCTCTCTCTCTGTCTAACACAGCCGCCATGCGCTCTTTAAAAGAGAGGCGAGTTTTAATAGCAAAAGAAAACTAGTTATGAAACAGTTTATGTGAAAGGGATAGTACCAAGTTTATTGTTGGAAATTTAGAAAACCACATAAAATTTAAATGAATCATTAAACTGATTTGCTTATCCAACCCTTATAAGAAGTGCATTTGTTTGAAAGCAGAAAAACAGAAGAACATTATTTTGAAATAAATCGGATCAATCCTAAGAGAGTTATAAATGTTTGAAATAGGAGATCATTAGATATTTGCGAATCTCAAATTGGCAATAAGGTCAGAGGATTCTCCCTTTGAGCACTTCACCAATTTAATAGGTTGTTATAGGTCCTCTAAAAGAAAATACCCTCCTGAGACATACATTTTGGAAAAGTGACATTTTAGGCCTTTGTGTGTAAAAACAATTGGGAAAGTTGTCCGCCGGAATTACATCACAGTGACTTTCAGCCCATTTGAATTGCCCATACATAGTTATACAAAACCGATTTCGATCAAATCATTCTTTTTTAATTATTTATGTTAAGATATTGCTTCATAATTCTATTATGATGGGGGTTGTGTGTCCGGACACTTAACAAAAATAAAGCCTTCTCTTTTCCATTGGACTCAACGAAAAATATATTAATCATGATTTTTTTTATCCCTTACAATATTGTCGATCATAAATCTTTATAAATATATATGAAGTATTGCTTTTAAACCTCTTCAAATGACATTTTTTTATATCGCCTTTTGGGATAACGAACCTGACCCCACCCGCGACGCAAAGGTATATTGTCCGGAAACTTTGAAAGTACTGGACATCCCATAAAAGACCGCCAGCCCGCGAAACCCGCACCATCGAATAAACGGAAGCTGCACAGTACATAATACCCACTGAAGAGGAAAAGAAACAGCGCCATCTAATCATCAGTGATGAACAACTAAAAAGACAACAGCACAGCCAGGCAGAAATAATCTTTTTGATTGGTCAGCCTTAAAACCCAACAACAACAACAACAACAACAAACCGAATGTCGGTCTGGGTGAACCATTAAAAAATGTCAGAAGGTTCACAAGATCGACAATAATTCGTGTTTCTCTGGATGCTGGAGGAATACGAATAAGTGCTAAACATAACTTAAAAGAGATGAAGGGAATCTCTTTTTCAATTCAAAGTTCAGATAGTAAACTTCACATAAAGACATTTTGTCACTAAACAGTGCGTCCCAGAAAACACAAAGCTGAAAATTAATGATGTTTTATTATAACTTTATCATAATTATAATTAATAAATGACACATATTCACAAAGCTTAGATCCTCCTCTTTAATGTGATGCAACTCATATGATGCATTTTTTACGCATGATTGATTACGGGCAATTTGAAGAGAGGAAACAAAAAAGTCATTTGGCGGACGGTATCTGAATTTCAAAGAGAAAAATCACGTTTCCAGAAAGTTCATTTTCTGCCCTTTCATACTTTAAACAAACAGAACTGAATTATTTACTGTATACTCTATGTTGAAACGTTTGTTACATATATCATGTATATATACATTGTGTTTCATATTGTACTGTTGAGAAGGAAATAAATGTTAATAATAAATAAAAAATAAAATAAATATTTCCTAATTATGAAAGGGCAGAAAATGAACCTTGAGCCATAATGCATGGCCGTACAGAGGATTTTTTATGTTGGGGACCGGGGGGAAATTCAACGAATTATTGAAAATTTATTGCATTTTTAAAATTATTTTTTTATCTGTGGGAACTGCCCCCTACCCAAGCCCCCGCTGCGGTTCAGTGACAAAGCAACGGCTTCGTAACTGTGAGCCCCCAGGATGAAAACCGTGTCGATATGCTATATTAGTGCCCTTTTGTGGGGCATTAATCCTCATTAATTAAGGGCGTAGATACCTTGGTTGATAAGCATGGTAGCATACACATGCTTTAGCAGTCACGGAAAACACACATTGACAAATTATTATTCAATTATCTGAGAATGTATACTATTATCTAGATCTATTACGAATAAATTATTTTTAAAGTAATTCCATAAATTGGGGTAAAACAAAAATATTCCAACTATATGAGCGACAGTGTAAGAAAGATTCATCCTGATACTACTTATTAGTTTTTCTTGGTTTCTGTATTGCCAATTGACATAAAACATAAAATCGCTTTTGAAAGTCATCCAAATTGAATGACATAAGAAAGATACATAACTGCGAAGCGTATAGCATTTCAAGTCATTACAACAACAAAAAGAAGAAAAAAGCGCCACCTGAACCAGGTTTTGCTGTACTATTTACATCACTGATGTTTACGTATCCTACGATCATGCCGTATGCTAATCGAATTTAAATGAACCATCTATATACATATATGACTGAAAATACCATTATAATTATAAAGAAAGGCTTATACTATAGCATCCTAACGGAGCTCTTCGTTTTCCTCAGAAAATCACTCATGCATGCCCGTTCAGGAGCCATTTTGTCAACTTTAGGTTCATTTTCATACCTTTCTTTCAACCAATATATCTCCGCTTTCCTATATGCTACATACTTCTCACAAACTCGTCTAGATAGTCCTAACATCAATCGAAAAAAAATTGTGCATATTTTCGTATATTACATTTTTCCGCAACTATCCTCTGATTACTTCGAAAAAACACATTTGCAAACTAATTTTTTTTAGACATTTCCGACATGAACAGATCCTGAAAACGGGACTGCATAATTTCTAATAAGCATTGTTTACATATAACCTACCATGACATTTTTTTGTTGCATATACATTAAGAAATGAATCAAAATTCGTTTTATTATTAATGCAATGATATACCTGTACAGTAATTATTAATGAAAATTCGATAATATAATTTTCTCATTTCAATTCTATTGTACGCTTCATTACGTGCGACATGCTTATTTATCCATTAGCAACGTAACTATTATGACTTAAAATAACAAATTTCGTTCATTAACGATAATCTAACAATATGCATCAGAACACTCAGCATTACAAAAAACGAATCTTTTTACTTCTTTACGTCTTCCTAACAAAACTATTAGACTACAATTTTACTTCACATACTTTTTTTATATACACTAACATGTTAAGGAAAATATGGTGCTTTGGAAAATAGAACTTTAATTTTCATACTTTCTTAGAAAAAGCTGCTATTTTTATTACAGGTTTTCCCGCTATTTTGGATGCTTTTTCAGTCCATTTGATAAAACTTTCATTCAATAGGCCATTTTTGTAATGTGATCAAATTTAATGCATAAGTGTTGGTTAGTTGCCTCATTAGGAATTATTTCATTCACCTGTTACAAACAAATGTGTTTCAAGAGCCAGGTAGGACAAATGTTGACTTGCCCTACCTAACAACACAAAATAGGACAATAAATTAGATAGGTAAATTTGCGAAATTGGCGGGAAAAACCCATGATATTATTAGCAACCTTTCATACACGTAGGCACAACATGCACAAGGAGAAAACGAAATCTTCATTAACAAGGATTTTTCAATATTTTTGCATAACTCGATTGTTATTTTGTTCGGTTTCCCCTAGTACTACATTTTAAACAGCCAAAAAATATAAATAATCCGATTTAACCTCAACAACATAAACAACACCACACCATCGACTCTCATATCGATATCGCTTTACATAGCTAACTATAAAACTATATATCAACTGTTTTATTTTCATGGTAATAAGATTCCATGTTTTATTTTTATTATTATTATTATTTATCCGGCAATTCACAAGAAATATAACGACGTGAATATGAGTAAACAAACATTAAGAGAATGTCAATTATAAATGCACAATCTTCCTGGAGGTCCATTGAGTGCATCAGTTGGCTGCCGGGGAAGAGGAAAGCAAACTTAATCACTGTAACCTAATGGTCCCTCTTCCCGACCAACTGGTGCTCCTAGAAGACCTGCAAAATATAGCATGAATGTAAATAGAATGTATTGCATTTCATAAAAACCAGCTAACAAAGACAAGGCACAAGGAGGAAATCATTTTTTTTTTAATGTTTTTTATGACAATAGGTCATGACACGACACTGAACATAAACATGAGGAATTAATTCTGACTTAAAAACTATTGCATGCAAAGCCAAGTAGGTAAACTGAAACCATGAAGTATAAAACTGAGAAAAGAACAAAATATGAGAACATGTAGTAGCGCAATGACAAGAATGTCTAAAATCATACAGGTTGACCGCTATATAGAAGTTAAAAACAACATGGTAAAGGAAGTGCTTAGGAGCCTTCAGGCGAGTAATTAAAGAAACTAGGAGAACGAATACATTAAAGAATAATTTATATTATATTATACAAACAATATATAAAGAAGCTCCGTTGAAAATATCCAGAAGATGTTTAAAGAAGGGAGAAGAAGAAAAAAATTCAGAGACATAACAATGATAAAATCAAAATTAAAGTTTCGGCTCAGAAATGTTATAGAGAAGTAGACGAATAAATGATTACAAAATATACCGTATTTATTACATTGACCTCTCGTAAATTAAATTAAACAACGACTTCACAAAAAGAAAATTTAATCAAAGAACTCATACTAAATAAAAAGGCTAAATAATTAAATCTCCAATCAAACTCATGAAAGGATACGTAGAAACAACTACTGCATAACACTAATTGCAACAAATGTTTTGTATTTTATGATACAATGTCTTTATTCGCTTTGGAAATATTGTCACCAGTAACCATCATCACCGCACAGTGAATTCAATAAATAAATCCGTCTAATTAGGCCTACCCACTATTATAGTACATCCGGGTGTTGCGTGACAAATGTAGATCAATGTCTTTCTAGAGGACATCGTTGCTTTGTAGGAGCTCGTACCCGAAACCTTCATTATGCTCAATCACGTATTCCAGGTACTCATTTTAAATAGGGTACCTCTTATAAGGACGTGGTGTTACTGCTTAGGCCTTAGGTTGAGTGACTAGAGACAACGGCTTGGTTTTGTGTTGGACCTACTGGAGCTGGAGCGACTCGGATCAACCTCATACCAGGCTTAGCTGCACTTCCCTGACAAAACAAAATGGTAGATAACAAAACAAACAATGATAGATAACAAAACAAAATGGAAGATAACAAAACAAAATGATAGATAACACAAATAAAATAACAAAGAAATATCCCCCGCCCCCCCCCCCAAAAAAAAGAAGAAGAGAAGTAGAAAGTAACAATATATGATTGCAATAAAAATAAAAGTGCATATTATTAGATCCTGAATAATAAAACAATAATAATACTATAAAAGAACACGACACCTCCACACACGTTTGTTTGTGAATATAACAATTTTACATTTGAATATAGCCAACATATTTTTTCATATGAATCAACCATACAATGCCAATTTTCACACATTCAATTTGGGGAGCAGCATTTCACTTGACAAACGCCTTTGTTATACAAAACGTCGTTATTCATTCGCCCCAACAAACTCATGAGAGAAGTGCCACAAGACAATGTGGCCGTGTCATTTCAGTTAACATTGTACAAACAAAGATTCTCATACCAGCACAACAATTCACGCGAAAGATAACATTTCGAGGCTTAAATTTCCCAATATTTCTCTCCTCTTTCTTGCATTTTCAGTAACACTGTAAAAACAAAGATTCTCATACCAGCACACTAATTCACGCGAAATATAATATTTTGAGGCTCATGAAAAACATTAATCAGACTAAAATTTTCCCAGTATTGTTTCCCTATTTCTAGCATCGTCATGTATAACAGACGCCCCCCCCCCCCGAAAAAAAAATTATGTTCGATGCGCGATTTGTTCGAATCAGAATCGAGCGGTTACACACTGGGCAGATATATGCTATTATTGCGCTAGAAAGAAAAATATAATTATTGCATAATTAGATAAAGTGTAAAATTAAACTTCATTTACTTCAGTTGTTGAAACTGTACTGGGATTGGTGATCGAAGCCCTGCTTTCACGAGATTTGCGAACATGTTCTCTGATGGCGTTTCGAACCTGTTGTAATAATAACAAATCACAATAATAGAGACTTTCTGTTTGATTTCATGTTAAAGGCTAAATCGGAAACGCCATATCGTGTGCACTGTCTGTCTTGCCTGTTTCGAGGAGTTGCACAATTTTACTGTGGACTATCGGACACTCGCAGTTTTGAAGAATTTCTTTCCTTAAATAGGCGGTTGGGAGATCAATATTCGAATATAATTTTTATATAGCCTATTTCTAATACAAAATCCACGATGAAATTAACTTGCCTTTATACACTAAACACGAATTACAAGCAGCATATTGTGGGGCGTAAGATTTACATTTTTGCCTGTTGCATCATAGCTATCCTTTCTCTACGATAATCTTTACTTCTTTACAGAGCAAATTCCCCGAAATAAAATTGTTTTGAATGTCTGATGCCAGCAATGATTTCATTACGTACCTCCGAATTGAGAAAGCAATAGAGCCATGCGACGAAGAACCCCTGCAAGGAAACAACATAAATAATCTACATTTTGTACGATACATGCACAGCACTAAACTTAGATATGAACGTCTCGTAGTAGTAAAACAAAAATGAAAAATACAAGAAAAAATGTTAGGGCACATATGCCCGTGCATGGTTAAAATCAAATTTGAGTACTGATCAGACCATTACATCAAGAAGACAGAAATTGTCTAGGACCTAATGTGCGTTGATTGCCTGTGAGGTATTTGAAAATAAAAAAACGAAAATTCTTGTTATGCTAGGAGTCCACTGGGCCAGCGCCAGTTGGTGCCAGTTCGCGCCAAAGATTATGTGATTGGCGCGTAGTGGCTCGCTGTGGCGCCGAATTAATGTCCGCTCGGCATGTGTCGCCGAGTGGAACAAGCCGGGTGCCATATGGCGTGCGCCAAATGCCACCCGGCTTGTTCCAAAATGTTGCGCCAGTTTGCGCCAGTTCGCGCTATTACACGGCCATTTGATTCCAAAATTCACCCTGTTGGCGCCATTCGTGCCAATAGACGTCTACTTTGCGCCACTTGGTGATTAGTTTGTGCCAAAGGTCGCCAAATTGGTTTGAACTTGCCGCCGCTTGGCGCTACTTGCCGACTATACAAATACCGGCCATCGGCTACCTGGTTCATGCTAGGAGTCCACTGGGCCGCGCCAGTTGGCGCCAGTTTGCGCCAATGCAATTTACTGTGGCGCCTAATGTCGCCAATAAGGTGCCTAGTGGCGTGTAGTGGCTCAAACTGCCTCCCAACTGGCTCGTGGTGGCCCGTAACGGCACCAAATTTGAATGTGGCGGCAAGAAAATTTCAAAATGTTTGAAATTTTCGTCGCGCCACTTGCATCGAGCAATCAGCGCCAAGTGTCCGCCAAGTGGCACCAAATGGCGCGAACATATCGCCCTTTGGTGCAAACAATCCGCCTATTGGAATCCACTGGAATGTAATGGCGAGCGCCAAGTTGCGCCAATGAGATTTCGCGCCACATGGCGCCACTTGGCGCCAAGGGGCACCTTGTTTGCGCCACTACGCGAGCCAAACGGCACCCGATTGGTGACTACTTCGCGCCAAATGCCACCTGATTGCCCGCCATTCGGCGCCACTTGCCGCCTATAACAGCAGGGCGGCATCGCAGGACTTTCTCACAGTGATGGCGGCAGTTCTTCAAGCTCTAGGACGTCCCATGCCTGATAGTGCTTCCTGATGAGGTTGTGCAGCATGACGGCAGCTTCAATGAGCAAGCGGACTGTGTCTGGTTCCTGTCTCATCTGGCCAAGGAAGCACTGGAACCGCAGAGCCAGAATACCAAAGGCATTTTCAACCACACGCCTTGCCCTGGACAGCCTGTAGTTGAAGATCTTCTGCTGTTGGTCCATGTTACGACGGCCATAAGGCTTCATCATGTACGTCCTCATGGCGAAGGCATAGTCTCCCACGAAGAAGTACGGCATAGGGTGCTCTTCATCATCATGGGGAAGAGGAGCTGGATCTGGGATGCCTAAAGTGCCAGCTTCAATGCACTCCTTCAGTTCACTGTTGTTGTAGATCTGGGCATCAGACTGATGGCCAACCCCACCCACATCGATCCACAGGAACTGGTACTTTTAATCTACCAGAGCCATCAGGACAACCGAGAAGAACTGCTTGTAGTTGAAGTAAAGGCTGCCTGATTTGTTGGGCTTCTGGAGACGGATGTGCTTTCCATCATAGCCTCCAAGACAGTGAGGAAGATTCCATCTGGCTTCAAAATCACCTGCAACCTCAAGCCAGCCTTCATTGGTTGTGGGGAGGGAGATGACTTCTGCAGCATACTCATCCTCATATTCATACTCATGGCGCGCGCCATTACATTCCAGTGGATTCCAATAGGCGGATTGTTTGCGCCAAAGGGCGATATGTTCGCGCCATTTGGTGCCACTTGGCGGACACTTGGCGCTGATTGCTCGATGCAAGTGGCGCGACGAAAATTTCAAACATTTTGAAATTTTCTTGCCGCCACATTCAAATTTGGTGCCGTTATGCGCCACCACAGTTGGGAGGCAGTTTGAGCCACTACACGCCACTAGGCACCTTATTGGCGACACTAGGCGCCACAGTAAATTGCATTGGCGCAAACTGGCGCCAACTGGCGCCGGCCCAGTGGACTCCTAGCATGAACAACATCTCTACTAAATATTTACAATGTTGGTATGTCTGAGGCTTTTGATAATGTTGGAGTGATGATGCTGCTCCATCAGAAGATGATGAGAGATGCTGAGGTGGCCACTGACTATTTGGCCATGTGGCGCGAAATCTCATTGGCGCAACTTGGCGCGCGCCATTACATTCCAGTCGATTCCAATAGGCGGATTGTTTGCGCCAAAAGGCAATATGTTCGCGCCATTTGGTGCCACTTGGCGGACTTGGCGCTGATTGCTCGATGCAAGTGGCGCGACGAAAATTTCAAACATCTTGAAATTTTCTTGCCGCCACATTCAAATTTGGTGCCGTTACGAGCCACCACGAGCCAGTTGGGAGGCAGTTTGAGCCACTACACGCCACTAGGCACCTTATTGGCGACACTAGGCGCCACAGTAAATTGCATTGGCGCAAACTGGTACCAACTGGCGCTGGCCCAGTGGACTCTTAGTGGGATTAAACTTTGGTCCAAAGATATGATATATCTAGTTATTTGGAATTTGATGGTTTTTCAAGAGAAATTACGTAAAATTATCAATATGATATTTGTCCTTATTGTGAAAGGGTATGTTAAATATTTCAAATTATATTTTTCACTTCTACAGAGCTCAACCTTTAAAGAAAAGGTAGGATTATCTTCGTTTCATTGGCCCCACTCTCTCTCTCTTTCTTTTATTTTTTCATTTTGTTTACAATGGAAATCAAAGTCATCATAATACTGACATCATAGTGATTACTTCGCGAAGTTATCTCTGATAACCTATAAAGATACCTGAAGAGAATTGAGCAGGTTGAAGGTGTATTCCAACGCCTTGACGTGAGGGAAAACTGCCACTACAGGTGTCAATAACCAAGCGATACCAAGCAAGGGGAAGAGCAACAAAGTGCTCCGAAGTCCAGCTCTGGGAAGCGGTGACAAAGAGAATTGACAGTGATTTTTTAGGAACATATACAAAAACACGAACCCACACGCACCTATCCAAATCTATACACAAGTTTAGCAAAATACCCACACACACAACTATCCAAACCCAAACATACACACATATCCAAACCCACACACAACTATCCTAAACCACACACACAAACACACGCGCACACGCACACACACGCACGCACACACACGCACACACAATCACGCACACACACAGAGACACATACATCCAAATACGCACACACCCTTCCAAACCCACAAAGATATACATACACACTCACATGTATTCCTCAACCATTACTGAGTCAATAACCAATGTATAGCAAGCGATATGAGGAGAAACGGAGGGCTTTAAAGATCAGCTCTGAATAAAAACAAAATGATTTTACAAAATTTACATGAAGAAGGAATTCGAAACTGACAATAGAGGCCTGCGTTCATAATAAGTCATAAGTAAGTATAAATAATTTATATGATTTACTCTTTAAAAAAGTACTTTCTAAACATTTACGTAATCGAGAAAAAAGGTTAAGCAAGAACATGTTGTAAATGGAAAAATTCTTAAAGAGTAATTAGTTTATTACTTGATTTGCTTGATCTTATCGTTGTCAAGTTGACCTCGAGATGCAGATACAACTGTCTTTACAACCAGTAGGAGAATAACTACGTTGACCTAGAAGCGGAAATAAATGTATACATATTTTATAATTTTCCTGCTAATGATGAGAATCTAATGAATATATATGTATTATCGCAGACACAAGGCAAGCTTCTAACGTTAAAACTTCCGTAATAAGGAATTTTCGACTGTTATCTTGTTTTCCGTTGCCGGTGATCATGCTTAGGGTAACATTGTATTTAGATATCGCGATGCGACGATACAAAATCGTAGGCCTAACATTTAAAATATTTATAAAATATGAAACTTAACTTAATGAGGTTTATATTTCGATTACATATATGCATATTATCCTTTTAAAAATCTCCTTTAGTCACTGGGCGATAGGAGTTGCAATCAAACAGATATAACGAGCATTTTGCAACATTAAACTTCTGTAAACTCATGGTTTCAAGTGCGCATTAGTACTTCCACAATTTGAATTTTACATGGTATTTATCAAAATACGGCAGGGTAAGATATTAAGATTTTTTATATTTGAAAAGTTGCAGCTGGTGATTGAAAGAGCTGCTTAATTTTAATTTAGAGGAAAACTGTTGGATTTGTTTCAGAGTGCTGCTATTATACAAGTTAAAAAGCAATATTTAAACATTTTAAAAGGAAGCTTTAATTTTACGATTTATTTGCTGCTATTTTATATTGGAGCGCAAACATGGGCCTTATTTGAGAGTGTAGCTGCTATTTTACTATGTTCGTTCGAAACTTAAAAGGACAACCAATCCTTGTTATACGTTTACTTGTATAATGGCAACAAATGGGAGAAACTGCATGGCTAAAGTTGGAAAAAATCGAACCAATAAGATGGGAATTATAAATGTTTGAAACATGAGATTAATTAATCTATACAAATCTCAAATTTGATATTTCTTCATTGGATTGTGACGTAGCAATTAAAAACTCTCTCATTAGTCTTGAAACAAAATTAAAATCAATTTCTGTTTTTTTGTTGTTGTAACAGGTGCCTTTTCCTTTGGGGCACTAGTCAAAATATATTATGAGTGACATACTCTCTATCATACAATATATTGACACTTTAGACATTTGTTTTGTATTGACAAACATAGACGGAAATTGTCCGCCACTACACAACATGACATGACCGCTTTAGTCATTTTAAGGGTAACACAAAGTTTGGAATGAGGTTATGAATTTGGTTCAAATGAACATATTGGAAGCATATGCGATCCGACAATATTCAATGATCGTTGTCGCGGTTGAAATCGAGTTTAACTTATGAAATTGTAAATAACACACTATTTTTGTTGTGTAGCTCCCTCTCAAGGTCAAGATATTAATTAAGCTATAAAACAATGTTTCCTGACTAAAATCGACCGATTAGCTATTCCCGTTTGGAAATTATACATCACAACTATCTATTCTCAGATTTTCATGGTCGCAGCTACCATTGTACGGCCGTAGGCGCTATTTGAAATTTATTAAAATTTACCGGGAGCACCGATAAATTTTTATGTTCAATTTTTCTCGAAGGCAGAAGTGTTTTAGGGGCTAAATTTTCTAGTGCTTATGGTACATCCACAGGGGCATCCAAACCAATCAAAATTGTAAAGAATCACTATCCACCCAATTTTCAATATTTTCCAAAACTTTGTATTACCTTCAAAGTTCCTATACGTCTAACGATAACAACTTTTAAATACCAGAACTTTCTTCTTTTTCATCCGATTTCGTATACCGGTCTGGATCTCTGATATGTTTCCATTACCTTTTACTAGTTGTATGTTGAGGTTAGATATTTTTCTTTCAAATCTGTATTGAAGAACGAGGTGTCAAACAACAAGATAATGTGCAAAACATTATTCTAATCTTCTCTTATCAATATTTTGGGGGAAATTACCCAACTAATCAGTAAAGGGTAATCATGATACAAATATCCAGGCTTTCCAAGCTTCCGTACGACCCCCCCCCCAAAAAAAAAAACAAAAACAAAAACAAAAACAAACAAACACCTAATACCCCAAAAATAACAAATCGCACACTTTTACAAGTTTCTTACGAGTACGATTGCTATAGCCGGGCCGGTGAATGCCCAGATTGTCCCATCTGTTGGATTCAGCCAGCAACTGTATTTTAAATTGGAAGATAAAGATAAAACATTTACTTCAACTATGCAAAAGTTTAAATTGTTTGCACTCGTTTTGGGAGCCTTTGTAAAGATTTGACATTTAAACTATGCTATTTCAATGCAACTGATTTCCGTGGAATATCATATATATTGATAATAAAAGTTTGTTTCAATAAAATCATGCTCACCTTCGTTCATAGCCATAGCTTTGATGGTTTACGCCTCCAGTTATGATGAGTATCACGGCTGGACCACCTGCGAAAGAAAGAAATAATATGATATATTGCGAATGGCGGGATTGCACACGCTTTAGGAGCGCGTTCGAACGCACTAAGTACGAGATGAGGATGAGTTGAACTGTCTTTGAACGGATGGTCGGGTTAAAAACTAGTGGTGATCTAGTAAGAATGGGTTTGGACGTATTGGGAACGAGGTGGAACTACTTTAAATGGGTTTAAACTGACTACGGACTGGCTTGGACTGGATGGAAATGGCAAAATTACCCGATCTGAACTTGATATGAACTGACTGTGGACGGGGTACAGACGAGATGGACGTATTGAGGATTGTTTATGAACGAACTAGGATCGAATTATAGACATTATTTACACAATTTGCCCCGTCCACAACCCGTTTTACGCTTTTCTAGAATAGTTCCAGATCATAGTGAGAACTAGTTTGGTGTGATGGTGGCTTTAACGCTAGAGCCAAGAATGTTCCGGAACCTAGGTCCAGTACAAACCAAATTACAGTTTTACAAATACACCTTGTCCGTACTTGGGGTAAGTGAAGTGCAGAGGCATTTCGTATAGCATGGTCATGAACTTAACTTTTTTCCTAAAATGCCGACAAGAGCCTGTGGTAGGACATTAGAATTGAAGTCCTACATTAGAGAAACCAGTGGAAGGTGATAAATATTTTGCACCTTTTAAATCCTATGCGTATACAAAAGTGGATAATGTGCGTACGACCGCTAATGTTACAAATAAATCTTAAAATCACCTTTTGAATCAAGTTTAATTTTTCAAGGTTGGTTTTAAGAGAGTTATCCCGAGCAAGAACACCATAATTAAGATGGGGAAATATTAATGCTGAATACATTGTCAGGATAATGTCTTTAGGAAAAATTAATTTCAATTTATGGATTACGCAACTCTTTTTTGTCAATATCTTACAGAAATGATTTACATGAATTTTCCAACTCATTTGCTCATCAATGTGCAAACCAGGGAATTCAATACATTATTGAATCATACATCTTCTGATAGCACTTTAACTGTATTACTAAAAAAAATATAATTTGTCTTTTGCAGAATTAAAGACAGTTTATTTGCTTGAATCGACAAAGTAACTTTACTTAGGTCCAAATTAATCGTTTTTTTGTGGCTTTTTGTGTGAGTACTACAGGCTGGAATCATCAGCAAATAAAATGAATGACAAAACATCAGAAGAGAAATGAAAGTCATTGATATATACAATAAACAAGAGCGGACCAAGGTGAGATTCCTGAGGAACGCCGCTTGTGAAATTCTGTAACCCTGATTCAAAACCGTTTAAATAGCTCTTCAACGAGTCCAGAGCTGTGCCCCTGACATGTCTATAGATTCAAATGCCTTGGGAAAATCAAGAAATATAGTGATTGTGGGCAGCTTTTTGTCTATTGCTTGTGAAATCTTATCTTTGAAGTGCAGTGAGGCATGGGAGGTAGTATGTTTCTCTCGAAACTCAAACTGAAAGTTTCAGAATATTTTACTTTTGTTAAACAACTATAATGTTCTAAAATAAATCACTTTCTCAAGGATCTTTGAGAAGGAATTTAAAAGGGAAATAGAACGGTATTCTGAGAAAGATTTGGGATCTCCATTTTTATACCGTGTACGACTTTTGCAATTTTCATGTTTTCAGGGACTATTCCATATAACATTGATAAACTAAAACCATGAATAAGGGGTTGAATTATCCCTAAGATAACCTCTGTAATTATGTCATTATTGACACTATCGTATCCAGGAATTTTCCAAGCCTTTCAGCGAATCCACAATAGTAAGCAACTCTTCCCTAACTACTGGGAAAAGGAATTAACTTTTCTTATTAGATTATTTCAGGAAGTCGTTAAAACATTGTTGACAGGAAGGGACTGTGCGTGACAGGTTTGTACCAATACTGCAAAAATAATCATTGAATTTGTCCACAATAATATTTTATCTTCCACTAAACGTCCATCATTTCAATATTCTTTATATCAAACGTTTTTTCTATGACTTGAACACATTTTCAAAAATCACTTTCCAAGTTCCCCTGATATCGTTTAAAGATGCTTGAAAATAATATGTTTTCTTTGCTGTACGCATAACTGAAGTAAGGGTATTTTATAATCAACATATCGTTCACGTGATGATTTTTGTTCCATTAACTTTATAAAAAGAATACAACTTACTTTTTTATTGACAGACTTTAACAAGGAAACACTGGCCCATGGCAAGCGTGTAATTTTCTTACGATTCCCAGTATTACATTTGGAAATCGAAAATGTCATCATAGAGTAGCATGAACTTTTTAAAGAAATTGTTGAATGAAATATTAACATCCTTTTCGAGTAAAACTAAACTCCAGTTAGTTGCCGCCTTACAGCTTCTTGAAACTTCTCAATGTTAGTAGAATTGATCTGGATGATATAACGATAGAGATGTACGCCCTCTTCGATCAATGTTAATCAATGTTTTCAAATATTAGCAGTGTCCACTAATTAATCTTGTATTTTAGCTTACCGCTGTCATATATGATGCAAAACAAATAATTGTGGATTGCCAGAGTCAAAAACTTGGATGATCTCACGATTGAGTGGTAAGCCCTCAGCGTTCAATGTAAATCGATGGTTAACCATAATCACTGTTGTCATGAAAAACGATTATGGACTTAACTTTTGTTTCGAGACTGAAATATGGCATCACATAAATGCTTTGAGTGATTATCATCAACTTACCCCATCCTAAGATTCCATAAACCCAAGTTCGAGGATTACCAGAGTAAAAAACTTGGATGATCTGACGATAGAGGTGTACACCCTCGACGAGCATCCAAAACATCATTGCTAGTGAGAAGTAGTGCAGGATGAAGGAAAATGCCTTGCATGCAGACTATACAAGGGGTTCACATAAAAGATAAGATATAATGCGGGGGAATTGAGATGCATAATGTTATATATATATATACATGAACAAAAATTTCTTAGATTTCTTAAATTCCTTAAATCATTTAAACAAACTAAAAAATGACTGCAATAAAAAAATCATAAGGGCTGTAACTAAACCCATGGCCATGACGTCCCTTTCTTCAAGGAATCGTTGGGAGCAATATAGCGATGATAAAATGGACAAGTGTGTTTTTTCCAAAATGTATACTATTTCCGACCTTTTTTATAGTTCTCTAAAGGTTTATAAAGTGTAACATATATACACTGATTAAAACAATATTAATAACCTTTCTTGAGTGTTCACTTTTTAACTTTGATTGGTTTCATATTCATTCTTCAGATAGTGAAGACGTGAAATCTAATTTCAAGGATTTCCTTTTCAATTCTTTTAACCATCATTTTTGTATTACCGTGACGAAAGATTATTTTAATGGAAGCGTTTTATTTGTTCAACATATATGTATATATACTGAAAAAGTAAACAAATAACATGAGAGAAATATTTTGCGTCGCGTTTTCGTTGCTCTTCCTTAATTCCTTCCTTTGATGGAAATAACTGCAAAGGTCGCAAAAACAGTCTCCGTGGGAGTCAAACCAAGGTCTTTGGTTGCGTACGCCAAATCCTTTAACAGCTAGAACACGGAGACAGGTTGAATTTTTTTTTTCGGTTACACCAGAGACAACCATATTGGTACATTCAGCATTTATATATCCACACACACAAAAAAAGTGAACACTATTTGTAGTTAAGATTTCAAATATTTTTTTTTTATATAACTTACCTTTCATATACCAAAATGAACATAAATTAATCCTATTTTAGAGATGTTATGCAATTGGATTCATACCACTGATGCTTGAGCGAGTATAGAAATTTAACAATGAATGAGTATCTGAAAGAAAATTTCAAAAATGGGGCATCTGACCACTCAACTTTTGATGAGCATTGGAGGTATCCCATGGCCCGTCCACGATCTCGGGTGGAAAGGAGAGGCATCTTTACCGTGCTTGTCCAATCCATGCAGTCCCGAGACTACATCTGACATCCAGAGCTCACCTGCCCCCTGGACATCTACCCCCGAATAACCACCCCCAGTCAACTACCCCCTAGGACAACTACCCCCTAAGACAACTACCCCCGGACAACTACCCCCAGACAACTACCCCTAGGAAAAATACCCCCTAATAATTACCCCCGGACACCAACCCTCGGACAACTACCACATAAGAATTAAAAATTTAACAATGAATGAGTATCTGAAAGAAAATGTCAAAAATAAAGCATCTGACCACTCAAATTGTAATGGGCATTGGAGGTAACCCATGACTCGTCCACAATCACGTGTGGAAAGGATACGCCAGAGCTTAACCCTCTTCATCGTTTCTCATTCTTGTTTTCCTTTAAACTGTTAAGGTAGACTGTCTTCTAGATGATGCACTTGTTCATTAGCATTTGAATGGCTACTTGCTCTATTTTGTGCGATTGCATTTTTCTGAATCAGACCTACTATGTGCCGATCCAAGCGTGAAAATTCGAAACTTGATTTCAATTGATGTTTGTAGAGTATTGATATTTCTTTAATTTGAAATATACTTTAATACATTCTATTGATGGTTTATATGAACATTTTTAAGATGAAAGAGTGTCTATTTTTTGTATTTGTTCAATATTATAGTTGAATATATACCTACTACTGGTAGCACAGGGCTTCAATAAGGAAAACAAGGGAAATGAATAGCCTTCTAGAAACCTCAGAATACAAAATAATCAAGATTACCTCAATTTCAATAGGATTGATGCCGGCAAAGAAGGTGATATCGAAAAACAGAATGGCGACCATCAGGTTGGCATGAATTATAACCCGGTCAGCTGTCAACGATCGTCTAGGTATAAAGTAAAAATTAGACCCGAAGATTTACAGAGAGTTTTTTTAGCCAATTTAAATAAATTTATGTTCGTTTATTGGTTTACAAATCATGTTATTTATATATATTATATCCATGGCACAGAAAGAAACAAAATGTTCAATTCACCTTTATCAGTTATAGATTTGAAATGTAAATTTACCTTTGGGACCTATGTTATAGGATTAATTCAATTCAATTTAATTTGCCTAGCAATGAAAGTAAACATACAGGGTAAAACAAAAGCAGTATACAAAGTTTCACACAATTACAATTACTAACAAAGGTTAACACAGAAATACACAGAATTAATCTACAAACATGAATAACACAAAGGAAATTGCTAAGGCTGGAAGCAGCCAGATAGGAAGTGGTCCTTATATACGGCTGACCAATTTATCAAATATAAAAAGTCTTATGATTTAATTTAAGCTTTATTAACAAGTTTAAAAAATACAGTTACATGTAAATATAATGAATTTAACAACCGTTTAAATCTGTAGCTAATATCAGTATAGATCCATCAAATATTTGTTGTATATACGTTTCAAAGCGTTAACAAATTTCAATTCACGTATTTTACAAAACAACTCTGACGAATTTCGACCTTAGGTTTAATATATTACTTTAAGGAAAATATAGTATGGACCTATCATGCCTTGCACCCTAAATTCTGATTTTCCATACGCATAGTGTACACAGTGAGTGCAAAAACCCTACCTTCTATATTATGTTGGAATCCACGGTCAGTGCCCGATCATTTAAATTCATTACACTATTCATTATTTCATTTCAAACAGAATACAAATATCACAACAACAAAGAAAAAAGATATTAGAATGAATACAAGAATATTCATTGTGTTTATATTTTCTTCTTGCTCATTCGGGAAACATGCTACGTAATTTTGTTTTGCCTAATAAGGTTATCATATAGCTCCGTTTAGTCTCATTTGACAACGCCCCCTATCGTCAGAGTCAGCAGCCTAACATGTTAGCCTACTGACTTTTACAACAACAAAAATCGTTAAAAATTCATTTTCCACCCGACGTACGTTGACACTAGCTCTCTCACTGGAACCCTCATGTCCCATTGACTTTTGAAAGTTTACCCACCGTAATTTGGTCAAAATAGGTCGCTAGCTCGCCATTGCCTATATAACACATGTGAAACAAGTCAAACTTTGGACGCAATTTGCCACGGGATTGTTAGGTTATTATAGCTCAAGCACACGAAGGATAAGAAGCATGAATTATCATAGATCACTTCTGCTTGGTTCGTTATGTCCATTTCATCCGACCCCCCCCCCCCCCCACCGTCATTTTTCCATTTAGTAAAAGCAAACATTTTGCCGAGGTAAGCAAAAACATGAATATTCATGATCACCATGGACTATTCGATTATTTACAGAGGGGTTCAATTGTGCACCACATCAAAATCCTCTACTTTAAGTCAAGTATTTCATTATATTATGTAGTTTGATAGGTTTATTTTAATAACTGTTTAATTATCAGATATCAATGATAGTTAAAAGATATGGAAATTGTTCTTGTATTTTGTATTTAGCAAGCAATATCACATACAAATTCACTACCAAGTGTCGTCTAATCCGCCGATTGCCGTCTGCTATATACGTCCAGCGAGCGAAAATGAGACAACCGGAGCAATATGTTAAACAAAAATAAAGCACTATCCATTTTAGACTTGAATTGTATGAAAAATGATACATATATTATCAAAATCGCCCAAGTTATACTGGGTTGTCAACCATTTTAATTCCTTGACATTTATACCTGAGAATAAAAAACGTAATCAGACCGATAACGAGTGACGTCACAGATAATCCAAGGCCAACCCAGGTTAGAATATCACTGATGATATCTCCGTCCTGAAACGTAATGTTCAACACATAGCTTTCAAAGTTAGTAATACTCTTGGTATAGAATTTGTATTTATATTTTTCGAAGACAAAATATTATAATGGGCTTTATATCTTTAAGTCTAATTCACTCGTTTTGTCAAAATGTATCCCATTACCAAAATTATTATCCTGAAAAAAGGCTTTTAGGAGAAGCACATTCAAGGAAATGGGATGTATTTCAAACCTTAAAAATCTCATCGCATCTTAAGGGATCATCTCGATAATTTTCTTATAAAAAGATATAAATATATTCTCACAATTAACTCGTCAATATAACATTGAAAGGTTATAATGATAGCAATCATTTATTCAAATAGAGCATAACATATCAGAATCTCTCTTTAATTGAGAGCTAACCAACTGTGGAGTAATAGTTACATTTTATACACGCTTGTGAAATGATAAGCTCTAATATATACATCATGATTATATCTTACCAGCTCACTCGGCAGCAAACTCACGAGAATGGCGAAGCTGGTCATGTGATCACAGTAGCATGACGTCATATTCACGTTCTCCGTCGAGGTTTCTCGACAGCCGGTGGAACTCCATTTTCTTTAAAAAACATAGCACACGAGTAATGTGACCAGATAAAACATTTTACTTTATTTTGCTTGAATACAGTTATGAATTTTGTTCTCTGTAACGTTTTCCCAAAAATAGAGTCATAATCTATTCCGCTCCAATATAAGAAGCACATTATATAACCTGGTATTTTGGGGTTCACAGAAGAACAAAAAGGAACGAAAGTGCCAAAGTAAACACATCGATAGGAATAGATGTAATTCTTGCAACTCCATACGTGGCTATAGTAATTGGGTGTTATTATTAGAGCAAAAATAACACTTTATTTCATTTTCTGAAGCAGTATTTTGTTTATTCTACAGAAACAAAAATCATCTTTGTATTTAGCATATGAACAAATCAAGGATAACGATGTGGAAAGGGACAATGTACATGTGTGTCGTATTATTTTACTTCATTTCAAAATTAAAAGATAACTTATAGAAAATATGATTATATTTGAGTTTTGGTAAACAAAAAAAAATTCAGTTGCATTTGTGTTAACATATTTGGTTTATTGTTGTTTAGCTCGTAAAAGAAATTACAAGTCATATTCTCAACATAATCGCAAGAACCTTTGAGAATGTAAAAACATGACGAAGAAGAAAAAAAGAAAAAGAAGAAAAAGAAAAAGAAAAAGAATTACTATCTATCAAATCTTATGATATCAATTCCACATTCCCTATATATTCTAGAGATTATTTTGCCCTATCGTACGTATTTTATTATATGTTAGCAACAAAGAAATCTCTACTTCATGAAACAATGAGGAATAATACTTATATGAAGTGTGAAGATATCAATTTATTAATGTAAAATGTACATATAGAAATCAAATGAAAGGAAAAATATTTTCGAAAATCGTTTCTGATAACATGATATTATTGCCTTCAAAATAATACCTGGTCTTTATATCCCAGAAACTGCATGTTGGTGAAAAATATTTCTGACCGATCATCTGCAGTGAAATAGGAGGAAAAGTGATAAATAAATGCTAATATTACACTGGCAAGTTGAATATGAGTTCATGTGATATTTCCCCAATTTTGGGGGTCCTGAACACAAATTAGCTGTTGTCATTTTTCTAAATGACGTCTTCGGTCGTTGCCGTAATAAAGCATTATATTCATTAGCATGACTTATATTTCAATTCAATTTTTAATAAGTGCCTTTATATGTTTATCTATTTCCAGCTACCCTTTTCACATTGATAAACAATAGAAGTCTTCCCAGATCATAGTTATACTCAAATATTACGGTTTCCATGGTCACGCCTGTATTTTTAGAAAATAACAAA